CAAATAAAATGGCGGCATTCGTTTTCCTAACTAAACAGAATCGAGCCAAGATCGGCCACGGATGAGGGCCGAACTGCCTGATCTGATTTAGGACGGCAGGAAGCAACATCTAAGGGACACGGGGCTATTCCCGAAGGCAGGGAGCTTATTTCCTCCGGGACAAGAGAGTTAAATTGCAGTACAAAACGCGTCTCAGACTCAAGCCAATATTGGGTGATGCTTTAGGCGCAGACATGTCGATCTCTGATCGATAGAGCGGCTTCGCACAGGGGTGGGAATGTATTCCACAGAGGTCACGTGAGGCAATAAATAAATAATGTCACGTGTAGGGGGTACGCGTGACGAAAATTATGGGCTCTAGTTCGGATGACTGGATTTATTAGCACTTTCGTTACATTCTCTCTTAATTACAATTAATACAGCGCTATCGTTGATTTACACAATTTACAGTTCACCGTTGCACACGCACTAGGATTCTCCGTCTTCACTAGTCGTCTCCTGGCAACGGATCTCAGCAGAGAAACTATCACTTCAAATCACTATGAAGTATCCTTGTTATTTAGGCTTCAGTCACTCTGTACTCCTCTGTCCTAATCTGTACTTAATCAATCTTCACAATTCACTAAGGACATGCTCAATTCTCGTCCTTGCACTCTCAACTACTGAAACCTCCTGGACTCTCTTCCGTCACGGATTCGTGTCCTTGACGCACGGCTTCACAGCCATGAATGACTGCAAAGGACCTTCACTGTCCCTTATACAACTTCGGCACAAACCTCATAGAGAACACCTATGATTGCAGATGTGTACAGTTCTGTTGCTTAGCACTATGAATGGCGCGGACCACATTGAAAACACATCGTTTGTTTTCAGAATTGTTGCGTAACCTAGCAACGACTGTTTACCATGAATCCGTCTTCGCGGGAACTTGTTTACCAACCCACTGCCTAGGAATGGGTGTACATGTAACAATAGGAATGCATAGGAATATACCAATATTCACTGAATGCGTTCTATATGATTCTGCACATATTATTGGCCCTACATATTCTCAGGTTTTCAGGGTGATTGATATTCAGTTTGTGGTCTTCTGGATTGTGAAGATGGAGGTAATAGGTTTTCCCGAGACACTTACGTAAATATAAGGTTTCATAAATAACAAAACAATAAAAACCATGTACACTGTAGGATTTGAGGTTCTCACAGATATGGTTATGAAGAGTTCTATATTCTGTGCTATAACGCCCTGTTTGATAACCGGTTCACGAAGGTTTCTTCTTTGGTTTATTCTTCGACCCTGCAAATGGAGGCGATATATTCCTCCGAAACGTCGGTTGACTTTCATGTATAAATGTTTTAAAAATCGGTTAAATGATGTCGTTACAAAACATTAAAGTCTATAGGAATACGACACAATAAAACCTTGTACCCGCCAACATTTCACTGTAACCTGATGTCTCCATCTCCTACCTTGATGATGGAGTCGGCAGATTCTTCCGAAACGTCGGTAAATATCTACAAAAATACAAGGCATCACGTCAGAGAAGTCAGGCTGAGAGAGACTCGAGACGGTTCGTGATGCAACTGGCCCGCTTGCTCTGTTTTCATTTGGCGTTTAACTGTATCGATAAAACGAGTTTTCTGGCCGTCTGTCAACAGTTTCTGCCAATGCAGACTTTATGAGAACACAAACGAGGTAACCCCGATATTTCAGTCACATAGCGAGTTGTGTCAAGCGATAACAATTCTGACTTCTATTCAGGAGGTCCCTGTTTGGTTTCCAGACGAGACACAGACAATCTTGGCTGACGAAGAGTCCTTTCTTCTGGGACAGAACTCGTCATAAACGCCGCTGCAAGAACCTCAAATCCTACATATCTGGACTGAAAGTTCTCATTTTTCTCAGACCCTCCACAATATCTTTGGGATGTACCTTCTAATTAGGCCACATGTGGGCATTCCATATGCCTTCTAATTCATTACATGATACGCGACACGGTATGAGATACTGACCGCGTAACTAACAATAAGTTCTTGGAAGAACTAATGGATTATTTTCCTTTCCTTATAAATTGGTAATAGTGATGGGACGGATTTAAAAAAATACGCCGTCAAGATGTCGTCAGATAATATGTTATACATACAAAGTTTTATGAAGATTGGTACAGGAGTTGAGACAATATTAAGAGTTTGCTTCAACAGTATCAGACGCTGCAATGTCGGTATTATCGATGGGATGGATTTCTGAAGTGCGCCGATGAGAGAGGCTCAGGTGCCATGATACATATACCAAGTTCAATAATAATCAGTCAAGGCATTCAAGTAATATGAAGGTCACTACCTCAATAATTTTAAAGGCCAGAACATTAGTATTACTGATGGAAAGGACTTATGAAGTACGTCATCGAGATGGGCTCAGGTGGCATGATATAAATACCAAGTTTCGTTTAAGTCATTTAAGGCATTCAAAAGTTGTTAAGGGAGGACACACATAGCCATACAGACAGACACACAGATAGCAAGATGATCTCATAAGCCTACTTCTATCTTTTCAAAATCATAAATAAATAACACAGATAACTCGATTTTAATATTGTGTAGGACATGTGATGGACAACCAAGGAACCAGGGGTTCGATTCCTGGTAGTGGTAAGATTGTACCTCTCGCCGTTTCCAGACTGGCTTAAGGGCCCACCCAGTCTCCTATCCAACGGATATCGGGAAATATTTTTCGGACGTAAAGATGACCATTCACTTCAATCTAGTGACCAAGTTAAGAATGTATGGAGTTATACCTCCATTCCACCAATCGTCTTCATGGTGGGATGCTTAATTAAGCTTCTGAGCAACTTAATTTTTTACTTTACAACATAAATTAAACTTTAACACTGGAAAATAAAACAGCAAAATTTGTTTAAATAAAACTTCTTTTTGTCGTAAAGTTAGCATACAGCGCTACAAAATGGCGGACCTTTAAAAGAGAAATTTTACAGTTGGCGCCAGCCTGAACATGGACCCATGTCTCATGTGCCAAGACACACATCACTGCCAGCTGACACAAAATATTTGTCTGGGCAAAGTTTTGATTTTCTCTAGAACGTTTCAGTTCCCAGAACTAGTGGAACAGATAAATTCAGTATTATTTAAATCCTGTTCCTGAAGTACAGTTCAATCACTGACTCTCTAGACATCGCTCACCGTCCTATTTATATTTTAAAAGACGTTTCTACACCAGACTGAGTCTCCATCTTCACGTAAGAGCCTACTCAGTTAAGCCCATTCGTTAGAGCTAACCTATGTCCGAACCCGGATGATGGACAACGTTCAGAATTTCAACCGCTGTATTCATATACCATCGTCACAAACTTATATATATATATATACCTATATATTGTATATACTGTATATATTGTATTGTGTAGACCCGTTACTGGGTAAAAATCTCATAAGAAACAACTATATGCAGCCATTACTGGGTAACGCCTTCGCAAATATACAAGTTCCCACGGAAATTATTTGGCTTACAAAAATGAATGGTATTTTCTACGCTTTCCGAGCCCAGATGTTATAGCCGAGATAAATACAGAAGTTAGTACAGTTGCAATAGAGTCAGTTGGCAGAGAGATGTAAGGGAACCTGTGAAGAGACTTGTTCGATGCAGTTGATTTTGTGAAGTGTGGCAATTAGCGACAGTGTTCGACCTGTAAGTAGTCAATAAATCCAGTGTTAAATCAATACAATATTAAAAGAGATGACTTGAGAATTTTGGAATAGCTCGGATAATCCTTTTTTGATCATGAACTCATGAAACTGATTAGACGCACGTGTGGTTATATCGTGTCAACATATCTATAATAATCAACTTAAAAAAATAGGAATTTAGTTTTCGGTTAATGACCAACTTTAATTGAACATTTCCTTTTCGTAAGAAGTGGAGTCTGTATATTTAGTTTATAACCAGTTGATGCAAGCCATTTCTAATAAACCGGTGTATATAGATTTTTATAAGTAGAGGTACTTAGTTTCTGAACAGTGTAGTTCGTTTCCAATCAGGGTGATTAGATCCTAATCAGTAGATGCATTAATCTTAAAATAAACTTATGTGTTAATTCATAGGCATTCCGTAAATCCAATTTCTAATGAGTTAGTACATTTAATTTCAAACTACTTGGTACATTTAGTTTCTAATCACTTAGTGCATTCAGATTCTAATCAGTGTATTTAGTCTTTAATCACTTAGTGCATTCAGTTTCTAATCAGTGTATTTAGTCTTTAATCACTTAGTGCATTCAGTTTCTAATCAGTGTATTTAGTCTTTAATCACTTAGTGCATTCAGTTTCTAATCAGTGTATTTAGCCTTTAATCACTTAGTGCATTCAGTTTCTAATCAGTGTATTTAGTCTTTAATCACTTGGTGCATTCAGTTTCTAACCTGTGTATTTAGTCTCTATTCACTTAGTAGATTCAGTTTCTAATCTCTTAATATTTTTAGCTTCTAATCATTTAGTGTATTTAGTTTCTAACGCGTATATTTAGTATTTAGTTTCTAATCACTTAAGCATTCAGTTTCTACAAAGACAAAAACAACACCGTCCAGTGTGACTATTTAAGTTTTATCACTTGAAAACTCAGCACCCTTACATGTTTCGATCCCTACGGATCATCCTCAGAGGACACAATTGTGTATTTCAGACATTATATGTGTATGTATATAATCTAACACCTATTGTAATAGTAGTTTCGGGAAAAAGTATTGATGCCCTCTGGGGATGATCCGTAGGGATCGAAACATGTAAGGGTGCTGAGTTTTCAAGTGATAAAACTTAAATAGTCACACTGGACGGAGTTGTTTTTGTCTCTGTAATTGTTAGTGTGGCGCACCAGTTTCTAATCATTTAAGTATTCAGTTTCCAATTAGTCATTTACTTTACTATCAGTTGGTATCCCTTAGCCAAAAAGTTAAGTTCAGATTAACAGACAGACGCCATTATGTTCCTACCTGACGTCGTGTGGCATGGGAAGCGTGGCGCCTCGGTCAAGCAGGATCTTGATTATCTCGTAGTTGTCGCGATGTGCCGCCAGGATGAGCGGCGTTATATCCGGTGTGAAGGTGGCGGTGTCTGGCGGCAAAGCTTCCCAACTCTGAAACACGGTACCATACACTTTTTAACGATTCTTTTAACGACTCTGTCAGAAGTTACAACGATTGAAATGGGATCGGGGAGGATCATGAATAGCGGGTTTGTAGGGTTATGTAAAACACGAGGTTTCGGCCTATACTGGAATCACAGAAAGTCGTTCCATGGATTGAATCCTTGAGCACTTCAGTTGCCTCCTGCAGTGTATTTTCCAATGTTCCTCTCCAGCCGTCTAACCATTTTGTTCACATGAATGCTGGTAAAGACAAACGTTTTATGGCTGGTTGACATAGGCCAGCGGGGTATAGAGGGCAATACAACATGGAGAAACAGAGCAAGTTGGTCCTTGTGGTAACGTTTGTGAATTGTATTTTTGAGGTACAAGTTTCGAATTTCGGCTACAACATCGGATATCCTCACTGACATTTCATAGTTATACTCAGTCCCTCCAGACAAATGCTCCAAGCAAATTCCGAGATACGACCTCTGATTAGACCACGACCACTTCTCTCCACGTCATCTCTAATTTATGATTCAGCAGAAATTATCATCGACGCTGTCGAAAAAACATTAATACAAATATGCAAATAAACAGGAAAATAAATAAAATAATATACATAGACAAGGAGGACGAAGACTCGAAAGAGGACATCCTACCTCTCAAAGAACTCCTTTCTGTGGTCTCCATACAGTAAAAGGTACAATCCATGCTTTCGACTGGAGAGAGAGTGAAAACCAGGAAAACATAAGTTATGGTATTTTCACATATTTAGAGGCGTGAATATAGACGGGGTTTTGGATCACTGGATTTTATTGACCACTTAGAAGTCCTACTAAAAATAACTACAGCGCTATCGCTATTTCCACACTTTATATTTCACTGTTACATGCTAATGCTCTCTGTCTATTACACTCTCCACTAGTCGAGTCCTGCTAACGGATTTTAACACACTCCAAATATCGCGACACTGCACCACACATAAAGTGTGACTTTCAACTCCACTGAACTGCACTCAGTAATTCTGATGCCTCAATTCCTCTGCTCTAAAGCTCATATCCTGGCAGGCTGGCGTCTCGAAACTCAACTGAACTCTTTGCCAGCTTTTCTCTATCATTATGCTGGCATCTCAACGGACTCTCTCAATTATTATTCCAGCTGGCCCGGGATCCCCGTTATATAGGTTCGGGGCGGATCCAACGCAAAACACCGTTTCCATCTTTATAGCTCAACAATACTTGGATTGTTGCTTGCTTATTCGTTACCGCGGGAACCTACTTACCGAGTCGTTGTCTAGCAATGAATGTCTACTCAGGCTCCGATATTCCGGCTTTCAGCCGTCATGTCAAAATATGTTGGATTTGAGGTTATAATTGCGGTGGCTATGAAAATACTATCTTCTTGGATGTCACGCCGTGTAGTTGGGTAGAAATTCAGGTATAGTCTCTATCTTTAGGTCATACGCTTAGTAAGCAACGAGGAAGATACTTGTAATAAGGTCTACACGGAAACATATCTAAGAAGAAAGTAGACATACAAAATAAGCGGAGCCTTACCTCCACCTCACTTATACACATTCATGGGATGATAATGATTATGTACAAGCATGGTCTCATTTTTTGCTGCCAGTTATAATGAATTCTTTTCCTTTCCAAAGGTAGAGTTTCCGTGTATTTAATTCAGCAGTACGGACGTTGAGGCATAGCTCCACGCATTCTTAACCACGGCATCAGAGACATGCATTCAGCTTCATGCTCGGCCGCTTTTCCCCCTGGCACACACAAGAGGCTGGGTGGACAACAGAGGCGGTATGGACGCGTGAGGAAGCGATAAATCTCTTTCCCCTGCTGGGAATCGAACGCCAATTTGAAGGTCATTCAGTTTAGTCACTATACCATCTGAGCTTCAGAAATTCTTTCTATTATCAGTAAAGGAACACAATTTTTGTGGTACTCTGTAGTTAATTATCGAATTTGGATTAATGAATTAAGGGTTGTTATTTCTATAAGCAAGTTTCGAAAATCCAGTCTTCCTGTACAATAGATTCCATGGAAGAGNGGGCAGAATCAAACATTTCGAGGCGTCGCACTCTAGACGCTAGGTCTCAGTGTTAGGAGTTATGGAGGGGCGACAAACAGCACCAGGGCGAGTGAAGTGAGAGGGGAACAGGTTCTGCATGTCTTATTTCGATGAAGTGTCCCTTTGATGTCTTAATTACTTCTCGCGCTTATTAATGACGTAATTGAATGAACAAGAGGCGGAAGCTGTACTCCAACTCGGAGTACACAAGATGTCCCTGTGCCTGATTAATTAAGCACCAAGTCAAGAAGCCGAGTGGAGGTATAGGGAGGTATAGATGTGGGTGTGGAGTGGAGTAGTTCGCTTCACGCTCTGGTCGCTTTAACCCCGGGGGAAAAAGTAGCCGGTGCTCGGTGGGGCCAAGTGGTGATCTAGATGCTGTGGGAAAGAATAAAACTTAACGTCATTATTTACATTCTGTTGTGCATCGTACACGCGCCATTTTACTCCCAGAGAAAATACAACAGTGAAACCTGGTTGAGTCCTTGCCTTTAGTCCGCAAGCGAAATATACCGACCGAGCGACCGCCGCTTGTCGGCGAAGTTAGTGACAAATTTAGCGGATAGAGGGTGTCGCGTGGTCAGCACAACGGCCGTTAATTTCCGTTTTCTAGACCGGAGCCGCTATTTCCTTGAAAAAGCTCCTGAATTATCTTCACGAGGGTGAGTGAACCCCGTTCCAGACTTATTATTTCTCAGAAAATCTGGTAGCGCCGGGAATCGAACCCGGACCTTTGGATCTGTAGACCACAGAGGCGGTCCACCGGGTGATAGACACGACAAATAATTTTACATTGTAACTACTACAGGAATTTTGAAAATTTTAAATTTAAAAATACTTTTTTATAATTTTATTAATAATTGCATGCATTCTGATGACTATAATGATTAACACTAATACAGAAGGAACCATATTAGGATATTTCAATAACGTGAGATGTACATAATAAAATTCTCTGAAGATGGTCCTAAACACGGATCGAACTATTCTGCAGTTATTTAATAAAACGAAGGTATGCAATTAGATGCCGGTCACGGTAGCCGAGCGGTCTAAGGCATGTACTGTCTTCGCTCGCTTGGAAACCGGGATCGTGGGTTCGAATCCTACTCAGGGCATGGATGTTTAGTTTGTGTGTGTGCGTTTTTCTGTGTTTGTGTACAGGTAGAGGCCTTGCGACGAGCTGATCACCCGCCCAAGGAGTCCTACCGAATGTGTAAGATCTATAAAAACCGAAGTGAACGGAGAAGTTCATGGAGGTAGGCCTAGGCCCACTGGGGCTGTAGTGCCAAGAAAAAAAAGCAATTAGATTGGTTTATTTTTTATGGTTGTGTTGACGGCCAGAATACCACAAAAAATACAGAATTTCTTGCCCCTCACTGGATTCGAATATAGAGTCCTTTTCGGTTTATCCCGTAGCCTATTTAATATACCGGCTGAGCTTTCCCGTCAACAACTGCAGTACACAAAACTTCCCAAATCTGTTCTTCATAATTTTGCACGAACATGCTCCCCTTTTTTGGGATACTCAACGATCCCATCAGTATCTAGAGCACATAACGTCGGATGGAAAAATGGTTGACGAACTGCAGAGTATTTTGAAGGAAGCGGTCGTGACCAAATCGAGGTACTATCCCAACAATATTGTGGAGAATGCAGAGCTTCTAAACATTAAAGCAGTGGTAAAGAGAGTTACCACGTAGCTACAAAGGGTAACTCCGAACTCCTATAATTATTCGTCTTCCTTCGGTCCAAATATTCTCAACACCCTGTTCTCAAACACCCTCAGTCTATGTTTATCCTTCAATGTCAGAGACCAAGTTGTACACCCATACGAAACCACAGGCATATCCAGTGTAACATACTCTTACATAAGTTTATTTATGTTACAGAATTTATATGTTTCGGGCAATATATGCCATCTTTAGAAGGCATAGATCAAGAGGGAATAATTTAAAATATCATAATGTTAATGTTAAAAGTCACAGTATATAACGGTTTCGCCTAATATTTTAAAAATTATGTCTAGTTATAAATGTGATGTATGAGCTTTGTTGTATTTCCTTCCTCCTACCCTCATTTTTCATTTATGCTGTGGCATACGCAGCTGCAACACATGGCTGCCATCAGCATGTCCGTTGTCTTTGGCCCTGCGTAGTCTCTGTGCCTGCTTGGGCTCTGCCGTGTGGCTTGTACGAATAGTATAGGCAACATCTGTAAAAGCTACAACAACTTGATAGATGTTGTGACATGTAGGGTCATTGCCAAGTAACAGCTGTGTAAACAGGTGACAGTACAAGAGCCGTTGGTAGAGAACAGTTCTGTGGACATTTTGTTCCCCTGGCAACGAGAAAACACGCACGGGAAGCCGAATAAAGGGGAAAGTCCGCCGTTGGAAGCCGTTGCCAAGCAACGGCTACTGTACTGTCGCCTGTTTACATATATATGACTTGGCATTGAGCTTACATGTCACAATATTTACACAAACACATTCTTCAATGCAGCTTTCTTTGTGGTTCATGGTTTAATCCCCTCTATTTCATGTCCTTCTTCCACTGCCATACATGTTTCGAGCTCATAAGGACCATCGTCAGGTGTGTATGTTGTACGTAAGATTCTTGGTTGACAGTTTGCCCGTGATGAACAATACCCCTGGCACCGAAAAAACGACGATTATCATAGTCTTTGTTTCCGATGGCTACCGCCTCACGTTCTTTGATGCTGGAGAACCCGTTCGCTGTCTTTCGGCGCTTTGCCTCTTCGTGTGAGGGTCGTACTGGAAGCACCATGATTCATCCTAGGCATTGATACTGTTAAGGAAGGTGGAACCGTTCTGTGACTCGTGTAACAAATAAGCACAAACAGAAGCTCCCACCTCCTTCTGATCCCGAGTGAGTGTGTGTGGGACTAGCCTGGCACTGAGTTTTCGT